TATGTACTTATTTAATGCACAAGAGTATTATTTTATTCCCCGAACTGTCCGAAAGTTCACATTTGTGAGGATGCAGGCAACAAAGAAAGAGATTCTGTCATGCAAGTGTCACTAGTACACTCCTCGTCATATCAATCACATTCACATTGTCGCTGTCAGTAACTTTCTAGAAGAAGTAGAAGTGGTATCTGCCATTTCATTAATAAAGGTAGTAAAAATGAATCTTATTCTTATTTTCAGTTCGGTAAATGAATATTAGTAATCATTATTCATTATTATAATTTGAAAATAAATTGGAAAAATTATAGCAAAGCGAAAGTAAAACACAGCAGCGCCATACGAAAGGGACGTAACTGTGTTTGAAAGTGAATTCTCGAGACTCGATCTTTCGGTCGTTTTTTAAAATGCGTAACCATTGACTAATTTGTCACTTGCAAGATTGAGACTAGAGTCAATTAATGTACTAAAAATAGACAGTACATTGAGTTAATTGAAAGAAGTGTTGAACAAGACAATTTCAATCGAAATTATACTCTCTAAAATTCATTCGTCAAAACTTTCGCCAGTATTATCAATTTGACCGTCAATAAAAAGAATTATCGCCATTGGCGAATTGACGAATGTCTAGGGTGGTCACTGAACACTGTTATCATCGTCAGATATTATTCAACCAACATTTCGAATGATTTATTTATTACTGTGAAGAAGAAGAGGGTACCTCTTTGAAATGTTGGTGTAACAATATCTGACGATGAAAACAATGTAAGTGTCGTTTGTGTTTATCCACATCAATATTTATCTAGTGAAGGACACTTCCGTATTGGATCCTTCGATCCATCGTTTTCATATTCCTGTTGGACGCGGATTCTACAGTCTGGCGCAGCAAAGTCGGCGACAGACACTTTTAGCACTGATATGAAGCAAGAACATATTTTGAAAAATCATTGCTAACTTGTGAAAATTCCCCCAAAACATTGGACAAATTTGAAAAATCAATAATTACATAAAGTTCAGTGCACGACACACAGATGCAATGTTATATGTTTTCTAATTGATACCATAAGCATGCAGACAAAAACTGCAGGATGGAGTCTGGCACTGTTTCAGGTAAAAAATTGATAAACTTTTAAGATCATATTTCTGTTGGTGATGTTACACAAGTCCATGTACCGATCTGTAGGCCTACTTTAATTGAAATTTCAACTTTATAATTGTCAGCTGCACATGTGTGAAAACTTGTCAGTATTTTGTTCATAATTAAAGTTCAAAGAATATGAGATTTTATTTGACCATAGATATACGAACAGTAAACTGTAATAATATTATATTATAAAATTCCTGTATTATAAAATATGAGGTATAAGGGAAACAACTCTGTCCATATTGATGGATGCAGACCACCATTAAATTTCACCATCTTGGAACACACTTCTGTAGTTCAAATACTAGTCTTTCTCTCTCTTTGCCTTTTCACCCCATTTGTGTGGCTATTTTTGTTGATTTTTTGGTCTAGAAATGAAGAAGAAGGTTTGAATTGATATATTCTGCCATGTTTACAGACGGAAGGTAAATAGAGTTAAGACGTTGGTTATGGTTAAACAAACTTGAAGTAGCATACTAAAAACATGTATCTCAAAATTTCAGTTGTCAGTCTCATACAAACTTTGGAGCAAAGACATGACCTGTTAGTTAGTCGCGGCAACGAGTCAATGGGGAAATTAATGGTAGTCTGCCTCCTGATGGTCTTAGACTGGCACTCCTCCTCCTATTGACTTAAATGCTAAATCCATGTCATTCCTTGGCCTATAACATTATATAATCTTTCAATCCACAAAGAGGCCAACATATCGCAATCATCTGATAAAAATATAGAAAGGTGGCTATGGTCTACACCCAGTTAATGGAATCTATAGGCTGTGGCATCATTTTCGTACATGATTTCCCAAATACATTCTAGCAAAATAGGTGTATATTTCTTTCGTTAAAGTTAAAGTCAACAAAAAATATTCAAAATTAAAAACACAAATTAGAATTAATAATTGGTACATTTCATTCAATATTGATGCTGTTATCTTGCCATGAAAATATGGGATGTTACACAGTGAATACCTTAAAATCAGTACACAATGTTTCGAGCCCCATTTGTAATGAACAAAGAAAACCATATTCCAGAAGACAATGTGGAAATGATAAAAAATGAAGAAACAAAAATTTGTGTAGAATGGACTACATGTATGTAGACAAAACCGACTGCCATTCAATTTGTACTGTATTTCACCGAACATAATATATCAGAAATAACAATAAATTTTTATACGCCCACATTTTCATGTGGATATATATATTGTCGTCGCCCTGGTCCGTCCTTCCACACTTTGTTTGTGCACACTCAACGGGTCACAATTTTTGTCCGATTTTTCGAAATCAGAGATCTCGATTCCTTTAGATATTAGCATGTATTGGACCATAATTTCATAGATTATGGCCCCTGATTGTACAAAAAATCATGTTTTAAGCTTTTATTCGATTTTGATGAAGCTTGTTCTCTGTCTATCTCTTGCAAATTGTGGATGTATCTTGCATTGAATGTAAATCACTTCATATACACTCGTATTACATTAAGATTCACTTTTAGATCCATTTTCGTCTGTTTTAAAGTTCCAAAAAAATAGAGCTATAATCCTTTATTATGCTTAAGCATCTGAATGTCTATATATAATGTCTATTGTTTAAAAGGGTTTTAATATATTAACTTAGATCTCCCTTTATATACCCTATAGTGCAACGCTATACTAGGATCATTTTTCATCTTTATTTGTTTGAAGTTATTTTTTGGCATTTATAAAAGTTGTTTATTAAATATATGATACAAGTGACTGAAAGTTGTTGAAAGAAAAGGAGTTGTTACTCATGGGATAGACTATGGTTAATAAATGGAAACTTTAATCAAAAATGTTTAGTACAGGGATAAAAAGTAGCATGTTGTAGGGGCAGCCTGCTGCTCTTAATATGAACAATTCTAAAATACATCTCACACCAAGCGATTAATCACTCTAAGGTTTCAGTCCTGCTGAGTACAACCTCTTTTATCAAGCCATTTCCGCAGCACTTGCCAAAAATTCAAACCGGGCCTTTGTACCTTTTCCCAATGAAAAGATTCCTCAGAAGGGAGACAAGCCAATCCATCATGTTTTGTGATGGTGATCATAGGACTTCTAGTCATTTGATTATCTTTGTACTTTATCTTGAACATTTTAATATATAGGAACATAGACCTTTATCATGCATGGTTAAGTTATAGGTGAGGTGTTGGACCTAATGTCTTAACATAAAGGACTCAATGATATATGAATGATCAGTTAGTTACCTTTTATAGCCAGTATATAGCTACATTTACACTTGGTTATGATATGCAACATTTACATTGCTATACAATAATTGTTCCTAATATGCCAAATGTGGAATTCATCAGAGAAAAGTTAAAATTGATGTATTTGCAGAAAAACTCTTTAAAAATGTATACTGTGTACACTAATGGAACGTAAGATAGAACAACAAAATAATTTATGCACAATAAAACCTAAAACAGAAAAATAATTTATACAAAATAGAACCAAAGGTAGAAAACTAAAATAATTTATACAAAATAGAACCAAAGGTAGAAAACTAAAATAATTTATACAAAATCGACCCTGAGATAGAAAACTAAAATAATATATACAAAATCGACCCTGAGATAAAAAAAAAACTAAAATAGACCGTCTGAGATAGACATCTTCAATATCCTGGTTGGTGCAGAAAAACTTCAAACAAAATAATTTATACACAACACAAATTCTATTTCCAATTGCCATCCCAGCTACCACATCTAATTGGCACAGTAGGACAGTCCTTACACTGTGTTCATAGCCTATATGACTTATTGGAGAGACATTTTAATAAAGATTGATATTTAGTAAATATTAATTATATATACTTTGTAAAGTAACCTATAAGCTTTACTGACTAACTCACAACTTGTCAGTTTTATGATGTGAACATTAAATTTATCAGTAGCAGGTGTAGTATTAACTACCGCCCTTTTTTAACATAGATTTATTTCTTATTTATTCTTATGACAGGAGAAACAGCTGGTGGTTATTTTCATACTCACTTATCTTATATTTAAAGTTAACTTTAATTAAGCTTTTACTCAATAACAGAATTGCAAAGGAGATAATATTGTATGTAATAATTTATTAGGAGGCTAAACTTGTTATTCGATTGACTTTAAATTCATACCCAGTGTTTAAGGTCATGAGACGAAGAGGCCTATTTGAAGTAGTGGCAAGGGGATTTTGTTTTCAGAATCCAGAGTAAAGATTTTATTGATTATTTGGATAAAATTCATCTTGTTGTCACCCAGGCCCTGTCTGTTTGTCGATCCATCAGTCGTAATTGTGGACACTCTAGAGGCTAAAGTTATTATCCGATTGAATTTAAATTCATACACATGAGACGAAGAAGCCTATTTCTGATCATTACTGCCAGAGTTATGGCCCTTTGAAATATCTTGTGGACGCTCACAAGGCTAAAGTTCTCATATGATTGACTTAAATTTTATACAGGGTTTATGGTCATGAGACGAAGAAGACGATTCATCTTCAACAATTTCTATATAATATACCGAAACATTTACAAGTACATGTTTTGATATGATAAATAGCAACATCTTGAAGACCTAGAAGCCAATCAAATTTTAATTATTTAGTGTCTTTTAAATAATCCCATTACCTACAAAACAATAAATATGTGAAAACCTTTGTTGACTGCTCAGATGTGTAGGCGTGTGTTTCATTGCCTGGCAACTTTTCTTTAGTTAACATAAGTGTCTCATTCATAATAACACAACTTTATGGATTTACTACTTCTTGGTTTATTACATGCAACGTTTCAATACTCTTACAGTAAGTGTCTCATGTTGAATACATATTTTTCAATATTTAATATTATTATTTCAGATAATACAGAGGTATTACCATCAGGAAATATTGTATTGAGAAATATAGAATTTAGGCAGACTGGTGTATATAAATGTATTATTGTTAATCCTAATACAGGGATGAACAAAACCTCGACATTTACCATCTCACTACAAGTATTTCCTCAAACTTCATCAGGTAAGATACTTTATATAATATATTATTTAATCTTCTTGTCCTGGTAAAATACTTGCCTACATATCAGATAAAATACAATGTTAATCTTAATTCTTCAAACCATGTAGATTAAACATGGAACATTACAAATATACTGACTTTTGTATTTGTGTGTTGCATGAGAGTGGTGTTGATTACCAATGATTGACAGTTTGTTAGATATGTTAGTGATGTGAGATGTAGTAAACAGTCTATCTATATACATCAGTTATCTGATACCAACCACATACATGTTAAATATACTCTATTACTTTCAAACTATTTCACAGCAAATTCTTCTACTACTACTACTATAACCTCTGTTTTAATTTGATAAGATATTGAGGAATATTGCAAAAAATAAAAACTGATTGCCAACTTTATAAGTTTGTATGTTTATCAGTATTTTATTTGTCTTATCTGTTATAAATTTTACTCAAAAAATGTTTTTAAATCTAGTTTGAACTGTCCATTCATCATCTTTATAAAAAAGCTTTGTTTCGTCTCACCTGTATTTATGTACAAGTACTAACTCTTTAAGATATTCAATTTATTTATTATACACACCCTCAGTACATAGCTACCTGAATTGTGTTCTCTTAAATTTGAATAATGATAGGTTGTAACTTGTAGATAGAGTTTTATCTATAGGCTAAGTCATCTGTCATTGTATAGAAGAAGTTCAATATATATAGATGTATAGTTTGTTAGTGAAGGATATTATTATACTTGTAGGTCACAAGTTTGTGTAATTTGTGTTATAAGCTTATTTTCACACATGATGGGAAAAGGCTGAAGAATCCTCCAAGGCCAACTTAATGTACATATTAGTTTTATGGCTATTGAATGAAAGAAAATGTAGTTGAATTATTTCAGTAGTTGGGAGAGATATCTTTCTGGAGTTTTCTGTATTTTAATACAGAAAAAGTTGTTCTTTGGTTGGATAACAAATTATCAGAGCTTCAGTTGATTTCACCTGATATTGATAGACGTTGATCTAGCCTGTGGATCTCATGTCTCTTCATCTGAAACTTTTGATCTGATCCAGCCTCGTTCGTTTTCTCAGGCGAATTTTTGAAATAAAAATATGTTAGTCTCAAAATGACCTAGTTTGTGTTAAACCCCATCTGTCACTGCTAAAGACCCCTACGTGCAAACAAATTATTGAAGTAAAATTAACCCCGATGTTAGTCAAGAAATGACCTAGTTTGTGTTAAGTGGATTTGAAACCCGCTCTCTTTCTCCCTCCCTCTCTCTCTCTCTCTCTCTTGATGTTCTGTTGATGTAATGTTATCAAACAGAAACCTATTGATCTGAGGGGGTATTGGGTGGCAGAATGGTTAACACGTGGGCGCTTAATCATTTAATCAGAAGGTCTGTCATTGAGTCAAGTGGCATGGTTTTGATTCCCTGCTTATACATGACACTCTTATGGTTGCCTGTCCTCCGGTTTCCTCCCACTGCTAAAGACCCCTATGCGCAAGCAAATTATTGAAATAAAATTAAACCATATGTTAGTCCCGAAATGACCTAGTTTGTGTCAAGTGGAGTTAAACTCTCTCTCTCTATTGATCTTCTGTTCATATGACACTTTGGGCCTGTATAGATCTCATGTTACTACTTATGACATTTTGGGCATATACAGATCCCACATGACTGATATAATTAGGTCTCTTCCTAGATCCATTTACTTGAATTGATATTTGTTGTTTATTTCTTGCAGTTTGTGTCTGTTTTATGTAAACTCAAATAGCTAATGTTATCATCTGTGTATAAAAAAGGTTAGCGCTAGGAAAAACTAAATGCTAGTAAAATTTTAATTAATTCTCATAATTCTTCTTCTGTAAGTTTTTAACGTCAGCTTTCGCTGAGGGGGATATTGCAGGCAAATTGTTTTATTTTATTTATTTTATTATCTTAGTGCACGCGAATTGGTCTTTCTTGTGGGAGGAAACCGGGGGACCCAGTGTAAATCAACAAGGTTGAGAAGGCGCCCCTATCTCACACCTGGGATTGAAACCACGACCACAAGCCAGAGGTGACCGGCCAGCTACAGCTCAAAGCGTGACACTCTAGTCCACAAGGCCATCCCAAAACCCTTCTCATAATTACTTCTTAATAAGTTTTTATACCCCCACATGGAAATGTGGTTGTATATTACTGTCGCCTTTGTCCGTCGTCCACAATTTCTTGTGAACACTCTACAGACTACACTTATTATCTAATCATTTCGAAATTAAATATGTTGTTTACATTAGTGCGATGAAGAAACCTATTTAATTTCAACAGTTTCTTTTAATTGTTTCTAGAGTTATTATGGTCCTTGTTTCACTTTGTAGACCCTTGTGAACCCTCTAAATGACAAAAATTGTTGTCCGTTCTGTATTAAATTTATATGTAGTATTTAGATTAGTAAAACAAAGAATTCTATTAGATTTCAGCTATTTCTGTTAATTACTTCTAGAGTTATGGCCCTTGTTTCACTTTGTTGAACCTTGTGAATGCTCTAATGACAAAAGTTAACATCAAGTCTGTATTAAATTTTTACGCATTATTTAGATCAGTGAAACGAAGAATCCTATTGAATTTCAGTTAATAACTTCTACAGTTATGGCCCTTGTTTCACAAAAGTTATCATCCAATCTGTATGAAATTGATATCAGTGTCTTGTAAATGCTCCCAATACCAACAAAAAATAAATATGTGACAAGTTATCAGCTGCTCAGACGATTTAGCTGCCATGGGCATGTTTTGTTGCCTGGCAACCTATCTTTAGTGTCTTGTAAATAAATACTCCCATCACCTACAAAAAATAAATAGCACCAACCTTTGTGAACTGCTGGGATAAAATAGCTGCTGTATGTTTTGTGATTTGGCAACCTAACCATCTTTTAGACATTGAGTAAAATATAGAAACATATCAATGAAAGATATCAAAAGCTGACATTTGTCTGAACTATATTGGTCATGGTAAAAACTGTAAATATATGCTGTATTTTTTGACGTCATGCTTATACAAAGACACATTGTGACAAGTTAATATTAAATCCAAGAAATCATTTCTTTTGGCCTGGCATCTGGCTTGAATTGTGAGTGAACCAGTGTAGAGGAATACCAAAATACCATACAGTTATCTACCTATCATATTACTTATAGTTAATATATCCACTGGGTGACTGGCATATTCACACTACACCTAACCAATTCCACATGTGCCAAGACATGATGATGGGCTAACTTTGCTTCTAAAATCTACATTGTTTATTTTAAGCCATTAATTACATGATAAATACAAACACATTTCTCCTCTAAAATATGTTCACTGTTTATATAGGCTAAGTAAAGGATATGAAAAATAAAAACATCAAGAAATTACATTATATAGCTGTATGAATAGGCATATAATATATACAAATACATCCGATTTTCCAAGTTTTGATGGAAAACAGCATTTTGATCTAGATATAAGAGGGGTGAATTCATGCTAGAATATATAACATGTTTTATAGGTATTATATGGCTCATTCAAGAGATAAAAACTTCAAAAAAAGATGATTTATAAATTTATTTAATATAAAAGTGTAAAACTTTATAGGTTAATTTTGATAGATAAATAACCTATAGAAGTACTATAGAATAAAGGTGGACTGTAATAGGGTAGCATCATATAGATGACCTGTTATCAACTTGTAAGACTTTAATATAATGACAGTGTAGGTCCGTTGGGAGAAAATGATTACTTTTCTGCACCCCCATTTATTACAGCCTACAGGGATTAAGATTCCTTCAGTCTAGTATCACCTGTAGCTCTACAATTACTTTCATCTTACCAACAATACACACATTATAAGGGGAGTAATTCTTACTCTAAATTTAAATCCTAACATATCTTCATAGTTTCCTACATTTCTGCTTCATTACCTTCAAACCATAGACAACTATGCAAAATGGAAGAAATTGCTTCAAGCACTGAGATCTTTGTATGTATAATTACTGTCCTGGCATGATAATATAGACGGTTTTCTCTGAAACGAAATGATGTCTCACCTGTCTTTACAAGGCAATGTACTCCTAGTATTTTTGTTGTTTTTATACACTCTGTTTGCCCGACTCTAAAAGCTAAAGTTATCATCCGATTGATTTGAAATTTATGCAGTGTTTATGTTGATGAGACAAAGAAGCCTATTGATTATGAAACTGCAAGTTTTCTAATTGTGAAGCTAATTTGTCTGATCATCCATCCCAAATTACCAGAGGGTAATAAAAATGTGGTAGAATAAAAGAAGTATAAATTGTTTTTAGAATTCCACATTGAAATGTGTGCATTTCACTGTCGCCCCTGTTCTTCCGTCCGGCAATCCGACATCCTCAATTGCTCTATAGACTAAAGTTAATATTCGATTGACTTTAAATTTATACACAGTATTTGAGGTCATGAGACAAAGAACCCTATTGATTTTCAACAATTTGCGATAATTACTACCAAAGTTATGGCCCTTGATCACTGAAAAATCTTGTGCACACTTTAGAGGCTAGAGTTAATATTCGATTGTCTTTAAATTTCTACACAGTGATTTTCACCAATTTGCGATAATTAGTGCCAGAGTTATGGCCCTTGATCACTTGAGATATCTTGTGGACACGCTAGAGACTAATGTTAATATAAATGTATACACAGTGTTTAAGGTCATGAAACAAACAATTGAAACAAATTCTAATTATTTCTGATAATTACTTAATGGTTTGTTACTTGTAATCAGATTTTAGTGTACTATAAATGTTTTCATTACTGACAAAAGAAAAAATATGTGACAACCCTTATTGACTGCCCGGACAACTTAGCTGCTGTGGGTATATGTTTTAATGCCTGGTAACCTATCTTTAATGATCTTAGTACTATCTCTGTGAGTGAATTAGGATTTTTGTCATCATTAAGCTTCAATTGGTTATTAAAAAAGTCATTAAGGGCATTCAATGTGTATGAAGAGGGTGATAATCTGTTAAATGGTCACAGATTTTGATTTCATGAATCCTTTGTCCAACATTGTGTTTAATATTCATTTTATCATCTAATTTCTCAAAGTATTTATTTTTACTCTTCTTTATCAGTTCTATATAATAATTTCTAATTTTGCCTGGTTATAGACTCTAGGTTTCTAACTAAAATAAATTGTATAGATTTATCTATTGTCAATTAAAGGGACAATAACACTCTTGTTGGCTTGACAGCTCCAGAAAATAAATAATAGCCTTATTGTAAGTACTAGATGTTTAAGTGTCCTACCTGTTGTGTAAATTATCCATTACATCCTATTTTACTTGTCCAGAGGGTTAGAAAATATTTTTAAATCCAAGTCACATTTGAAAAGGTTTTTTACGTTAAGCTTTTCAAATCATTTAGTTGAATTTTTCCAATTTTTTAAATTAGGTGTGTTAAGATGAAATTTGTATCACCAATTAATTGGAATATTGTAAAATAGTACAATTTGTTGACCAGAATAAAGATTGGGACATTCAGTTACAACAAGAGTGGTATTGAGCCTTTAAGAATCTTTTCATGGTCATATTTACTTCTTATTTCTCAGTGAAGTTTGTTTAAATAGACAGAATAAGAGTAAAATGTACAGTGCAAGGTATTCAGTGTCTATTTAAATGAAATTTGTTACTGTATTGTGATTAAAGAAGATTTAGTTAAAAACAGACACAATGTACATAAACCGAATGTTATCTTCATCTACTTTGGAGATAGACTCCCATTATTTTTCACCATCTCGTTACTCATGATTTATAATAGGTTTATGTAGGAATTCTCTCTCTCTCTGCCTTTTTTCTCCCCTTTTGCACATCCATTTTTGTGATTTTTTGGTTTAGAATCGAAGAAGAAGGCGTGAATTAAATTTTCTGCCAACCCCTTACGAACTTTGGAGCAAAAACACAAGCAATTGTTGCTCTGTCTTTAGTGAAAAACTTTCAGCCCAATGAAAATTTGGTGAAAAGTTGGGAGCTGGGCAAAAAAAAACAGAGTTAAGTCAATGGGGAAATTAATTGTAAACTCTCTCCCTGTAATATTATCTCCCTTTAGTCTTGTTTACCATTTAACTGGTAAATATAATTGTATTTTACAGGTATTGTGATAGGAACTATGATATTAGAAAGTGATTCTACAAGTAGTTCGGACCTGCAATTAAAGTTAAATAAAGGAGAAGATGCTGTATTAGAATGTCCTGCTGCTGGTTATCCTGAACCTCAAGTCAATTGGACAAAATATGCAGGATTTCTTCCACCATCAAGATCCACAGTTATATCAGGTAATATTTACAGTATTGACCTATAAACTATATTGTCCTGCAAGTATGATTGTGATGTTGTATTCATTGTTACCATGTAGTTCATTCCAACTGACTTATTAGCAATTACGACACAAATTTGTATGGATACATGTTTCAAGTAAATGTAGTATGAACATAGAGCTGACTGTTTGGCTTATGTTTTACTGAAGTATTTGTAAAGAAAACTATAAATTTAATTCAATTCGTAATTAATATACTTTCTATTTCTTGTGTATTTCAAGTAGTCGGATGGGAATATTGTACAAAGAAGAGATTCTATAAATTGCGATTACTTTCCTTTTAACACAAGTTTTCTTTAATCAAGATAGAATTTAAACATATATTTGTTTATTGTATTACAGGCAATCTTCATATCAAGAAAATACAGCTACAAGATGAAGGAACATATTTATGCAGTAGTAACACCAGTCAAAAATTTGTCACATTAGAAGTGAAAGGTAAGCTTCCTTAAATCGAATTATTCACAAAATTTCAATGTAAAACAATAAGTGAATTCAATTAAGAGCTAAGTTTCAACAATGACTCTATTGTCATTATCAAATACAATACTGATGATACAGTGAGAAAGAATGAGATATACCCTTTAAACAGTTGGGAGAATGTTATGATTGGTAAATAGTTTGTTCTTTCTGTCTGTATCAGTATTGTGCATGGTAATGGCAATATATTTTAGTTACTAAATGCTGTTTAAACACTACACTAGATTGTAAATACTTTACATAGATATTTTGTTCAGTTTCTGTAAACAGTGTTTGCCTTTAACGTATTACAAGGTATGGGAGATAACTCTCTTTTATCTCACAGTCCTCGTTTTTGCCTTACCCTTTTTTACCCAAGGGGGCTTTTAAAATTTAAAAATGTATTGATTTTTGTTTAGAAATTCCAAGTATTACTGTGGATGATGATGTGATTGAAGCAGAAAGAGGAAGTAGTTTAAGATTAAGATGTCATGTTAAAGGTCGTCCAACACCAGAAATTACTTGGTACCATGACGGCAGGATTATAACAAACTCAGTAACAAAAATACTCAATCATGGTGAGTTCATACTTTAAAATAAATAACATTAATGTGTATAAACAAAGAGACACATAGATTCTGATGAACTACTTGGATGACTTATTACCTGCTGTCGGCATGTTTCATTATCTGTTGGAACTAGCATAGAGAACTTTTCTGCTGATGTGCATATTATATATTTTATGTTGTGGTCATTTTTTTTTTTATAGAAACTGCTAAATTAATCAATAAAGTGAAAGTTACAGATGGAGGAATTTACCAGTGTATGGCTAAAAACCAGGCTGGTGTTTCTTCTGCTGCCATCTTCTTACGGGTTAAAGGTCAAGTTGTTGATCCAATCGGAGCAGGTAATACATCAATATATTTATTACATTACAAACTCTGAATTGTTTTGTTGAAGGAAAACCCAGGACCTCCGTTCAAGAAATAGAGATTACTAATAAAACAACTTCTTTGAGAGGCATTTAGTAATAGAACAATAACACACTAAAATCTTTTTATTAAGTAACATGTATAATTCATGTATTATTTTAAAGATGGAGATTCTATACCTAATGTAATGAATACCAATAGTCCTAATGAAACAACAGATGAATCAATCAAAAAACATCATCATAATAAACATGGTAAAAATAATGGTAAGAAAGATCGGCATAAAAATAAGAAGAAAAACAAAAAGAACAAGAAGAAGAATAAAGGAAAGAATAGAAGAAAGAATAAAAATGGCACAGGTTTGTTAAACATTTACCTTTATTTCTTAATATAATGTCAGATCTGTATTCGAGTGGTATGTTCTATTATATCTGGGGATTGGGGATTAGGGAGCGGGTGTCACCAAGTAGTTGGAAGTGTGCTTGAGATCATACCATCCTGCTAGTTGCGGGTTCACTGCCATACTTGTTTTGTATGTGATAGGGAATGGGGTAACCTACTTAAGTTTGTGCCTTGTGTATTTTCTCTGTGTTCCTCCAACTGACAAAGATCCCTACGCATATATGCAGTTAGCTATAAAATGTTTGTCCTGAAATGACCTAGTTAACCCCATGTCTTCCTCTCTCTTGTTAGACATGTACAGGAATAACAGAAGAATTTATGAATTTGTTTATTTCAGTAAAATTAGTTCCACCATCGAGACCATCTGTAGTTCAGTTATCAGAATCATCAGTAATGTTAAACTGGACAGTACCAGAGAATGATGGGTTACCAGTTACGTTTTTCCGTGTACAATATAAAGAAGTATCACCTAAGAAGAGAGCCTGGCAGACGGAAGATAGAGATATTTCAAAAACAGTTCGAAAATATGAAGTTAATAATTTAAAGAAAGGTAAGTTTTGATAATTATCACTAACCATACATTTTATGGTTACCATTTATTTTGTTTATTTAGATAAGATAAGTATTTTAAATTGCAAGTTGATAAAAAAAATTATATATTTCAGGTGGAACTTATAAGTTTCGTATAGCAGCTGTCTATTCAAATAATGACAATAATATTGGCCAGAATTCACCTCGTTTTCAACTAACAACTAACGCTCAACCAGAAACTGCTGTCCCAGCTGAAGCTCCTACCATTGTAGAAGCTAAACCTATTGTCTTTGAGAATGTTTATGGAATCGGTGTAAGATGGCAGGTATGTAGATATTATTTATATGTATAGTATTTTTATACATCCACAAATTTATTTTGAATACTTGACAGACAACATTTGTGTCCAATCTTTTTATATGCCAACATTGTTAGGCATTCACAATGCGGACACTCAAGATGTTAAAGTTCTCATTCGAGATGAAGACATGTATTGATTTTCAACTATTGTCAAAGTTATTGCCCTTGATGATTTTGAAAAATCCATTGGATGCTGTAGCTGGAGGCTAACATTATGTGAATTACTAGATATTTTGTTTATGACGCCTATTTTTTTCTTTGTTTAGTATCGAGCCCCAGATTCACCTCAGATAGAAGGTTTTAATATATTCTATAAACCATATGATTATCCTGGTGAATATAAACAAAATAATTTACCTGGAGCTAGTGTACGAGAATATCTATTAAAATACCTGAAATCAGATACAGAATACAGTATCAAGATGCAATCCTATAATTCAGCAGGCAAGAGTGATTTTAGTAATGTTGTTGTCAAAAGAACTAGAGGTTAGTATTATTGGTTATTTAATTAATTGAAACTGAAATATTTAATTGTGCCTAATTCTATTTGATGAGAAATTGTTAAACTTACTTCAATGTATCTAATTGCTTCGACACTAGAAGTATCATTAGTGCCAGATTTTCCATTTGAAACTAAAAACATGTGGGGCCATGGTGGCTAAATGGGTAGGATGCTGACTCGCTAGTCTGGAGGTCGCATGTTCGATCCCTGCACTGGCCGAGAAAGTTCATCGGGATTTTCTGGCGTGGTTTCCCCTTGTCAGTAGTGCAGGACGGAGGGCCTGACAAGGACAGCTGTCTAGTTGTTTGGATGGGACAAAAAAACAAGCTCCTGTGTATACATTGCCACTGCCCGGGTAAAATTTCCCTTATAGTACACTGTAAAGTGTATGCCTATCTTCATTATCCCAGTCGGAGCAGAGAAGTAGGACATTAAACCCCATTTCATTTTATTTCCAAAAACATGTCCGTTCTGTCACACTTTTTGACAAAAACATCTCTGTTCTATCACACTTTTTGATAAAAATATTAAAAATCTGTTGAATTTTCAGTTATTACTGACAAAATGTGTATTCGTACATTGAGAACTCTGTTGATAGCTGAACCCCTTACAGCTACATTGGATCATAAGGTGTGTCACGGAGTCAAGTAGCAAGGTTTCGATTCCCCGATTGTACATGACAAGAAGTAGGTCCCCTGTTTAACATTGTGGGTTTTCTCCTTGTCCTCCGGTTTCCTCCCACCGCTAAAGACCCCTACGTGCAAACAAATTATTGAAATAAAATAAAAAAATATGTTAGTCCTGAAATGACCTAGTTTGTGTATATGTAGATGTTAAACCCATTTGTTAACAGCTATTGTGAGAATATTCAAGTAGAATATAATTTTAACAAAATGTGATATTATATTTTACAGGAAAACCTGATATTGATTCTGTGAATCCTACTCCTGCACCAGAAAGAACAACAATACCACGAACTCGACCACCAGTAGCTAATGATGGTAGTTCTTCTCACTCTAATAAAAAGAGTAGTGAAATGTTATATATGATATTAGGAATTGTTTTGGGTATTATGTTATTGTTGTTGATAGTATTTATGTTTATGTGCTGGTGGAAACAACGACAACAAAGACGAATGTTAGGTAAGTACAAAATTCTGTTCTGAAACCTCACTGTTATATGGTTCACAAATTTTAGTATAAAGTCATGGTAAACATGCAAGACTGGCTATGAAGTGGGTGTGTTCAGTATAGACCTCAACTTTAATGTCCTTGAAATTTTGCCTGGACAGTAGTGCTACAGCCTACTCTTACATCGAATTCCAATTGCCAAGGGATCTTTTATGTGCACGCCAATGTGCACATAGGATCTCGGTTTTTTATCCCATCAGAACGACTAGACAGCTGTCCTTGTCAGACTCGTCATCCTGCACTACTGACAAGGGGAAACCATGCTAGAAAATCTTGATGAACTTTCTCGGCCAACACTAAGAGCGAACCTATATCTCCAGACTACCGAGCCAGCATCTTACTCACTTAGCCACCATGGCTCCCTATTACATGTACAACATAACTAACCGATAGTAACTAAACAAGATGGCTTTTTCTGTTGTAAAATTTCACTAACTAAAACACAAAACTTTAGGGAAAACAATTGCTGAATTTAAAAGTTATAATGTTTTTACATTCCTATCTATTATTATACCAAGGAATTAGCCAATAGTAAACTATGACGATAAAAACAAAAGTTATTCATTAAAAAAATATATATTTATGATTTATATATTTCAGCTATGAATGGAGTTATACAATCTAAATTTCAAGATCAAGCTCATCGCATCTATACGGATAGTATGAGAAAGAAGTATATGAATGGAGGTTATCCTGTAAATGGATTAAACGGGTATGTGGCCAACGGTCACGGTCCTCATGGACAACAAAAAAGGAATCTTAATGTAAATCCTGTTTCCAGTGAATTGACCTCATTACCGAGAAATCCAGACACAGTTAAATATTTTCATGTAAGATAAATTTATTTTCTATATAAATCCTTGAAAATTTTATGTTGTATACACATTGTTTTATTATGTTGTATACACATTGTTTTATTATGTTGTATACACATTGTTTTATTATGTTGTATACACATTGTTTTATTATGTTGTATACACATTGTTTTATTATCTAATGAGAAAAAAAATAAGAAAACATCCATGAGAAATTATAATACCCGTAGATTGATTAGGTGAAATTTTGCAAATTAGTTGTTTTCAACCATCTCAGAAAGTGAAAGGCAGAAAAAATAGAATATACCATCAAAATGTTATTAAACTCCAAGATATTGTTGTAAAACATAAGAGGGCATGGGTGGACAAAGTGATCTTACAACATACGCTTTAAATGAAAAGATCTGTCATTGAGTCGTGGTGTGGTTTCCCAAGCTTGTACATTATACATCTGTCCACAGAAAGTAGAAATATTTTAAGAAATATGATGTTTTATATTTTTTCAGAATCCAGTAGGTAACGGAAATGTTGGAACAATCGGACATACTAATGCAAGTGATAATAATTGTAATAATATTAACAGTAATAAAATAGTATTAGTTGATCCCGATGATCCATCGCAGCCTATGTTATCTGACAGTGATAGACTAGAAAATCCGGAACACATTTACCGACCTAATTGTTGTCCGAATCATCACTATCATCAAACTTTACCGGGTCATTCATCTAACGAAGGAGATGTATCAGGTACTGATACATTTAACGGTTCATCACCACAGCATGGTTTTGAACGATTGTATAGATCTGAAGATGGACTTTCTCATAAACCTTTTGTGGAGGAAAATTTAGGGCCAAGTGACCGTCAGTCGTATGACAGTTTGTCTCCCTCAGATCATCAGTCAGGGCGTTACAGCAATAAACACAGACATCGTCGTAAACAACGACACAGTAAAGAACAAACAACACGTGATCAAGCAACCAATACAGACCTCAGTAGTAATGGTAAGTTTTTATATACTAACATTGAATTACTGTTGGAGTTACTGAACTGGGGTTTAACATACTGTTTTTCTGCACTGATTGGGCTAAAGAAGACTGTCTGATTTATGGCTCTTCATTCATGTGAAAAAATCCGATTTATACAGTGTCTTTGCTAATGAGAAAAAGAAACCTGTTGGTTTTCATCCATGTCCGATAATTTCTATCAGAGTTATGGCTCTTGATCACTTTAAAAAGTTTTGGGATGCTATTGAGGCTAAAGTTATCATCCTATTCACTTTTTAAATTTTAATTATTATTTTTGATATTCAGTTTTTATACGCCCACATTGAAATGTGAGAAACTTCCAATCAATAGAAACAGGTAACACAAACCAAATGCAGACGGTTTGATGTGGTCAAATTTGACTTAGTCAAAAGGATGCATTTGATATTCAGATCAGATGATATACAATGATTAATAGAATACAATATCAAAAAAACTTTGTTTTATCCAACATTTCATCAATACAAATCGGAGCAGAGGCTAAAGTTAATATCCGATTGACTTTAAATTTATGCACAGTCTTTAAGATCATGAGATGTAGAATCCTATTGATATTCAACGATTTACTGGCAGATTTATGGCCCTTGATCACTTTGAAAAATCTTGTGGAGACGAAGAAGCTGATATCCGATAACCAGAGTTATAGCCCTTGACCTCTTTGAATATTCTTGTTCACACTCTACAGACCAAAGTTATCGTTTGATTGACTTTAAATTTATACATAGTGTTTATGGTTCCTGTGACAAATGTTATTGTTTTTTTTTAAAACAATTTCTGATAATTATTGCTTGGGTTTAATGCCCTTGATGACTTTGAAAAATATTGTGGATGCTCTCTCAAGACCAAAATTATCATCCGATTGACTTTAAGTTTATATCCGATTGACTTTAAGTTTGTACACAGTGTTTAAGGTCATGAGATGACAAAATCTGTTGATTTCAACAAGTTCTGATAACTTGAACAGCTAAATTCAAGATATTAAATGTTTTGTATACTAAACGTTAGCCTGTGGCAGAACTAGCCAAACAAATTCTAATGATTTCTGATAAATCCTTAATGGGTTGAACTCTTAATCAGATTTTATTGTGTTGTAAATGTTTTCATTAATGACAAAAGAATAAATATGCGACACCCCTTGTTCTACTGCTCGGACGCCTTAGCTGATGTGGCTGTATGTTCCGTTGTCAGGCAACCTATCTTAAGTGTCTTATAAAACTACAAAAATAATAAATATGCGATAGTCTTTGTGGACGTGTTAGCTGCTGTGTCTTTTGTATTAAGGATAATGATTGGTGCAATGGGGCCATACATATAATTTCATTTGATTATCACAATATACATGAATTCTAACTGAAGATGTTTGATAGATTTAACACACAACCTAGGTTTGGACGAAAGCCAGTTAGATGAGGAATAGCTAGATGTTTGATACCATTTAAATCTCTTCTTGGTACAGACTCTTAAGTTCAGTTCCATCTTGAAAGTTGTTATTGTCATAATCTAATGATGACTCCACCTCTGTTCCAAGTTTTATTCAATAATTTATTATGAACAATATTTGATTTTAACCATTTTTATTTTCAGAAGGTGCATCAATAGAATTTACAACTTTCAATAAATCAGGATCCAATTCTGACCAAATAAATGTGCCAAGTGTCTCTACCAGTGATTTACAATGTACAGACTTGTCACATTTGAATAATCAACTTTGACCCTGTCTATCTGTGTCTTCAAAAAACTAAACCTTCAAAACGAGAAAAACGAATGAAACAGTGTTTTTTAAAAACGAGATGTGTATTATTTATGGTGCAAAAACTAAACAAAAAAGAAAGAAATGGCAAATTGTGTCTTTCTCCAGAAATTGACTGGTATTATTGTCTACAGGATGTATTTATAAAAGTGCTATTTGTGTTTATAAGAAGAAAATGTTGATCTAATGTTGAAGAAATATTTTAGTGAATAATACTCAGGTTGTATAAAAACTTAGTGCATAATATTATAATATATATATAGTAATATTTATAAACAGTGAACAAGAGACATCTAATTATCTTTTATACCTACACACATGTAATGTGTCTCTTTACCTCAGTCACTTAAACAAAAAATATCTGTTAGAAATTTATTTTTAGTTCAAACAGTTAAAGATCTGAAATGTTAATGTCAAATTATTTCTGTGAATTTATTAGAATTTTTAAAAAGCTGTTGGTGACTTTAAAAGTCTGTCTTTTCTTCTTCTCTAATGAAATTTAAGTTGAAGATTTTTAAGGTTTGTTACCTCTATAGTTGATGGCTGAAATTATACTGATTGTATATTGTCAAGTGAGGCAGCTATGATTTCTGGAACATAGATAAATACTTATATGTATAATAAAACCTCTCCTGTCTTCTGTGTTTCAATCACAGATTTATTGACTTGGGTCAGATAGAAATGACACTAATGATATTAAGAATGTTTGTTATTATTTGCTCAATAAAAGGGTAAGCTGTTTTAATTATATGTCTCTATTATTATATGCAGAACGTGTGTTCAACTGTCATATTTTAAATTATAGAAATAGTTATAATACAGATGCTCAGTATTATCACATTCATACTATAACACACCAACTTCTTACTGCCAGATTTATTATAACACTAATGTCTATTTTACTGGCACAGACTCGTTTACTTTCTGCTCATCGGATCACATTGAATTTTGTCTTTAATTTTCTACAACTTGATCATTACTTATAATATTTTGTTTAAATACAGTTAAATTACTTTGATTGTGCAGGGACCGAAAATATCATTCTCTATATATTGATATTGACTAAACCCAAGTTGGGTCAAAGTTCACAAGATAGTAATAATCTCTTTAAACTGTGCACAAACCAGGGCCTAAAATAAGGTTAAATTCTCAGAGCACGGATTTAGAGTCAGCGGAGCCGCAGGCGCCTGGGGGCCCTCCCCCAAAAAATTTTGAAAATTGAGAGCTTGAAACCGGCATCTGTGGACTATTCTGGTGCAGTTTACATAGGAATTTATTTTGTCGCGAGCAGCTTTTTCCGCATGAAAAGTTATTGAAAACTCAGCACTAGGAAGACAACACATCACTTTCGTTACAGAACTGTAACAGAACTGTAATTAAATTTCTACCATTCTTACATCAAAAATCAAATCCCATGATATGAATCTTATCATTAACAAGGGTTTTAACAAGGGTACAACATAAAAATCTGATTATTGTCTTATAAAGTCTTTTTAGGGAGTGAATGTGGAGCCAGGTCATGGGCTGCTGGCCGAACATCAAATTCAGACAACGAGGGCATATTGATGCGAATGTTCAGGTATGCGTCCATGGTCTCCTCAGACAAGCTACATCACATGAATGTGGCTTCGCTGCTACTACACGAGCGATCGCCACGGACACAGGTAGCCAATTTTGACCCTGGATGGGAGTTTTTAATTTTTCAGGAAAAACCCCAATGTCGCTTGCCTACATTGCTTTTTAGGCGGCGGCGGATCGAGCTCCGGTTCCCCATCCATATTTTAATACCTAAAATCGCAGATAACACCGAAAATAAGTCAAAAACAAACTTTTTCAAAGTGATAAAGTGAAATGAAGGTCAAGGTCGCAGCGGAGCAGACTGGATACCAAGCCTACTGAAAAACCTGACTAGTAAGCTGATGCGGCTGGCGCTCACTCACTCATCCGAGGTAGTCGCGAGTGAGTGCCAGGTGATCTGATCTGATCTGTGCAACTGACCACACCACAAGAACACAAGAAGAAACACCCAATTAGGGGTCAGGAGGCATCGCTGACTACACTTTTTTAGAGCACTACACCATTTTTCAGAGCACGGTTTTCTTATTTTCGAAGCATGGATTTTTCATTTCGAGGCACGTTCGTGCTCCAAGGCACGTTATTTTAGGCCCTGGCACAAACTGGCAAAATAAGAATGTGCTATAGCCCCAAAGTAATATTATAAGTATGGTAGTGATAATTTTGAATATATTAAGAATAGAATAACAGAAATGTGACTTGATCAGCAGAAAGTAAGTTTGCTGAACATATGATATGGTAAAGGAACTTTGTTAAAAAGAAAGGTATTATTATAAATTATTAATGTATATTATCACCCCCCACTCTTCCTAAATCCATCCATTTTTATGAGCCCACATTGATATGTTTCATGTCTGACAACCTTTAACAACGAGAAATGATTCAATAATATACCGGTACTGTAATGTGAATAAACAAATATTTAATGCTGTAATGTATTACATAAAAAATATTTTCAATGGAATTTAATAAGTTTGATCTTTTCACAGGTAATATATTAATAACATTATAATTTGTAATAAATAAATCGTTATATTATTCTGTTTTAATATGCCCACATTGAAATGTGGTGGTATATTATTGTCACCCCCATCTGTCCGTCCATCCACAATTGCTTGTGTATGCCCTTGACTTGATATTTATACATAGTGTTTATGTTCTTGAAACGAAGACACCTATTGGCTTTCAACAATCTCCCATATAAATTATTGTCAGAGTTATTGCCCTTCATCTTTTAACTATGTCTTGTGTATGCCCTTTGGGCTATAGTTATCTGACTGAAATAGATACACAGTATTTCTGTTCATGTTACTCTTGGTAAATGTTTAGTGACTTGTAAAGGATCCCATCATCTACAAAGGAATGATAATGCAACAACCTTTATGGACTGCTTCGGGTGTATATGTTTCATTGCCAGGCAACCTATCTAAATATTTCTTTGCAATTGTCACATAATAATTGTTTGTTTCTTAGAACACATTTTGTGAGTCATTCATAGTAACAAATCTTCAAAAAATAAATAATATAAGAATTAAATACTCAGTTGTTCACTTGTAATATGATATATGTGTAGTGTAAATGTTTTGAGTGTGAATGAAGACAGTATTACACAAACAGTACTATATATCAAGTAGCTAGTTACATGTATATATTTTATTAACAAAAGGAATCAAAATTCACTTATTTAATTATTATTTGTTAAAAATAGTATGTTTATGTAATACTGGAAAAGTAAAGGAGTTTAGTTAGAGATGTATGCTGAATGTTTGACATACATAAAATATGAATTTGTGATATTATGTAGTTTAAATTCATTTTTCATTTCCAATCTTTTTGTGTATATGAGAATTTAAATACAAACAATTGTTTACTGATATAAATATTTGTATAGAAAAGATAATAATCATTCATTTGGTAATAACAAAATATATTTCATTCATTAAAAGCCTTTATATAACATGGCACCTTACTTGAAATAGTCCCAGTTTATGAAAACGTTTTTTGATATTGTTAACTTTTGTAATTTATTTTTATATATGGAAACAGGAGGGTAGCTCTTACACACAGCCCATGTTATTTACTATATTTCACTGTATTTGATTGATGCACTGATAAAGATACTATGATGTATATTTTGTTTGTATGACATAAACTATACAAATACGGGTCTCTTATACTTTATGATAATAAAGTGCCTTTTGCTTACCTTCAAACAGATATAATTTAATTCTTAGTGCACTTTAAATCAGGCCAATATAAACAGTGTCATATCTGCCATAGTGCCATTATGTAAAACTACAAAATTACACAGATACAAAACATTAAGAATATTTTTTTATAAAATGCCATTTCAAATTTTAAATTATTCTCTTTTATTGCAAAATGCTATAAGTATTGGTTATGCAAGGGGAAACCTTGCCAATAATGTGTTTATTTCACTATGTTTATGAGTTGTGGATATGACTGATTATAACTAATGTCTTCATACGTTTATATTGTACTTGTTTATATTGTAGTTATATTTATGTAAATACACAATACTCCAATCATTGTACAAAATAATTACAATAAACAAACATATAAAACATGAAATTCTTTTTTAAACTGTATTAATTGCTACCCGATGGTACTTAATGAAGTCCTTGTAAAAAAAGGCAACAAATATATCTTTTGATCCTATATATTATTTGAAATGTTATTAAGTGGCCTAAATTGGTGGACAACAAACTTGTAAATGGGGAAAGATTTGGTGGTGAGCCCAGTGGTTATTTTCCCAGGTTTCATAAATGTGGTTCATCATGTTTATTGCAATATTCACCTCCCGCACCAAACCCCCGCCCTCCCTTTTGTTTTGTTTTGCAATTTCTTTTGACTGTTTGAACCAGAATCGAAGATGTTTAAATATATACCCTGTCTGCCATGTGTATTTAATTTAGATAAAAAGTTTACTTCATCTATTGCCGTCGCCCCCGTCCGTCGGGGCTACAGTTAATATCAGATTGAGTTTAAATTTCTGCACAGTGTTTAAAGTCACGAAACAAAGAAACCTATGACCTTTGATCACTTTGAAAAATCTTGTGGGTTCTCTACAGAGTAAAGTTACTATATATCCGATAGACTTTAAATTTATACACAGTGCTTACGATCACGAGACGAAGAAACTTATTGATTTTCAACAATTTCTGATAATCACTGCCCAAGTTATGGCCCTTGATCACTTGAGAAATCTTGTGGACGCGCTGAAGATAAAGATAATATAAATTTATACACAGTGTTTAAAAGGACCATCCCGATTTTAACAGTCCGTGTACGTATGAAATTTAAACGCCAAAATATAGAGGAATGGCGTATTTACCTTATCTCAAAAGTTCAGCTCACAATATTGAGTCGTTTAGACGTGAACGTCAAAACCGCTTATACGGACACGTAACCCTTTTAAAATAAAAGTCGGGGTTTATCCAGACACCGTATAATACAGCTTACATGGGTGGCCATTTCCAGATGAAGACTGACGGGTTTAATTTATTTGAAAATGTGTCACGTATATTGAGTCAGTTGCTTGGCCATAAGGTAGAGGATTTTAAGGGCTATTAACACACAATTTAAGCAGTTTTATTCTCCAAAATATAATCAAGATTGGCCCTTTACGGTCACGAGACAAACAAATTCTAATGATTTCTGACAATTACTTAACGTAATCAGATTTTAGTGTGTTGTAAATATTTGCATTACATTGTACTAACAAAAGAAAAAAATATGCGACACCCCCTGTCTAAAATGAATTCTTGTCTCTTATTTTTTTAAATACTAGGGCCATATACTTGAGTCTTGAGGATCAAATGCAGCACCAAACCTTTACACACAACTGTTTAAACCAATTCCAAAATATGTTTAAACCAATTCCAGGGTGATTATTTAGACAGAGATCGTCTCTATCTATACTATTCAAAAAAAGTAGGGGATATTTGATTTTTAAGTGTTATTAAAGTCACCTAATGAAACTGACGAAGAAACAAATGACAAAATGAAATGAAGTTCACATTCATCGATTTATTCCAAATGATCGTTAGACTAAGTAAGGCACAGACTGACCATTATAAGGGTAAAATGATACCCGGGGTCAAACAGCAAAGTTACCACAGCATCACAACCAAGTCAGTAACGGTAACGGGTAAATCCTCCTCTGTTTTCCAAACAAGCATTGATCCGACGTGGCATACTCCTAATGAGACGTCTAAGGTCATTTTGGTCCAGATTGTCCCATTCCTGTTGCAACGCAGCAGCAAGTTCTTGGACATTGGCAGGACGTTGTTGACGTTGACGTAACCTCTGTCCAAGCATGTCCCAGACATGCTCGATGGGGGAGAGGCCGGGACTCAGTGCTGGCCAAGGTAATGTGGTGATGTTCTGTTGTTGGAGGTAACCTGTAACGATCCTGGCCCTGTGACATCTTGCGTTGTCATCCTGGAAGATGAAACGGCGGCCATGACGTCGTGCGAACGGCACAACATGGACTGCCAAGATGTTGTCCCGGTAGTACTGGCCTGTAACACGCCCTGCAACAACATGTAAAGCCGTTCTTCCAGCAACAGTGATGCCTCCCCACACCATAACAGAACCACCCCCAAATCGATCATGTCTGATGACGTTAACGTCTTGGAAGCGCTCGTTTCGACGACGCCACACCCTCCTACGTCTGTCCAAAAAATCAACAGTGAACCTTGACTCATCTGAAAACATCACATTGCTCCAGCGTCGATTATCCCAGTGTTGACGATCCCTACACCAACGACGTCTTGCCTGAATGTGATGATCTCTCAAACAAGGGATCACGCGAGGACGTCGGGCGCGAAGGTGACCCCTATGCAGTCGATTCCGAATCGTCTGGCCACTCACTCTCACACCAGTGTCTGTTTGAAGACGAGCGCTGATCTGATTTGCTGTGATGACACGATTTCTTAAGGCCAAGGTACGGATAAATCGATCCTGGGCTTGAGTTGTCGCCCTTTGTCGACCTGAGCGTGGTCTGTCCTGTACAGATTGTGTATCACGGTATCTGGACCATAGCCTGCTTATGACAGACTGAGAAACATTCATCGTCCGCGCCACAACCGCCTGTGTTGTGCCGATCTGTAGCATGCCAAGGGCACGTAACCTTTCATTTTGGGTAAGCCGACGCATATCAAAATTTGTTTTCTGGTCACTAAAACAATTAAACTGATGTTTCCACCCTGGAATTCAATGCCACAATGACTGTAACATTCAAAGTCAGAGTCGTGCAAATCTTGGGTTGGACCCCCATGATGATCCCAAGCATCACCTGCATTCCATGCGGTAGCTATTGGTGCGTTTGGGCGTCACATGTAACTGGAAATGTTTCTTCTGTTAGGTTCTATAGTGACTTTTTTCGTAGTCATTTGCATATTTTAGTATTATGCCCCCAAAATCAAATATCCCCTACTTTTTTTGAATAGTATATATTATACGGGGATTGTCACTAACAGTAGAACCAACTGGTAAGGCCCTAATAAGTTTATAGTTCATAATAACACAACTTTATGGATTTACTACTTCTTAAGTTTATTACATGCAACGTTTCAATACTCTTACAGGTATCTTTATCAAACAATGATCAATAATGAATAATAACTTTACATCCATGAGTAAAAACAATTCAACAATCAAAACATAACATCAATTAAGACTTATAACAACAACCATTTCCCTTTGAATATGACTTCACTATCTCTCAGCCAAATTAAAAACTTGACACTCGGGATTTTTGGGACTAGAATTTTTAATATTTGGTTTAAGGCAACTATTTTAGTGTTATGTTGTGCACAGACGACCTTGACATCAACAGAAAGCAAGAATACGTCTTGCCGAAAGTCCTTGACACTGATAACGTTCGTGATGTCACAGTACCCCCCAAAATGAATTTCACAGACTTGGAGAACAATCGGAATAAAAATTTGTCTCGTACTGCCACACAACGTCTTCTCATGGATCTCAGAACATTAGTAAACACTACCCGAGTAAGACGTCGCCACTGCTCAGCAAGAGCATGTTGAAGGTCCTGCAACGTCAGTGGTGGATTCACTTGCTGACTAACACGTCGACCCAGTTCGTCCCAGATGTGTTCAATAGGATTAAGGTCGGGGCTAAGCGACGGCCAATCCAGGACTTGGACACCGGCATTTCTTAAAAAATTCTGGGTAGCAATTGTTGTATGGGGTCGAGCATTGTCTTGTTGAAACGTTAGTCCAGGCCCATATCTCTGCATAAACGGAAGAAGAACAGGTTACAAAATCTGATCCCTGTACTGAACAGCATTTAAGTTCCCTTGGACAACAACAAGAGGAGAACGTCCATGTGCACAAAAAGAATCCCAAACCATGACGCTGCCGCCACCAAATCGGTCAACTTCTCTGACGCATATTTGAGCGTAACGTTCACCTCGTCTGCGGTACACTCGGACACTGCCATCGGCAAATCTCAAAGTGAATCGAGATTCGCCACTAAAGATAACCGAATTCCACTGTCTTTGAGTAAATCTTATGTGTCTTGTGGCCCACACAAGTCGGTTACGGCGATGAAGATGTGTCAATATTGGTCCATTATAGGGCCTCCAGCTCGAAGACCAGCAGTCTGCAAGCGATTTCGAACAGTTTGTGCAGTTACCCTTCCACCAAACATCTCTCTACTTGTGGAGATTGCAGTGACAAATCTGTTTCTAAGATGACGTAATCGTATTGCTTGATCTTCCTGGAGTGACGTCACACGTGGCGCTCCCGCCCTTGGGCGGTCGGCAATAGTTCCAGTTTGAAGCACTCTCATTCTAAGATTAATTATTGTCTGACGTGAACAATTAAAGGCTCTTGCCACAGTGACCACAGACTGACCAGCATAGAGCCTACCTATAGTACGTAGACGTTCTACATTTAAAAGGCGCGGCATTTTCTAACAAAGATGAAAATAACAATTTTAATTTGTTTTTCTAGTTCAAGTTACATGTGCGTGTTCAGTTTAATCAAACTTGCATCGATTGACCTCACGAGTTTGTGTTTGCACGTGTTTTTCAGGTTTTTCATCTTTATATGCTCAAAAGTCACGTGATCCACGTGACTTTACAATTTTATGAAATTAAAGGCTTCTTACTACTTACTATCGTTAGAAACACTTTAAAAAAAAAATTTGTTGAAATTCATCAGTGTCAAGTTTTTAAATTTGGCTGAGTATATAACAGATTAAATTGGGGACTGAAGCCACCAACAAGACTAACATATAATCCTGAAATCAATAACCCGTATCTACACAATTGAATAGGTTTGAGTCTTTAAGCTCATCTTGTTAATAATATGGTAATATAACTAATTTAATATATTAGGCATAATTAATTCGGTTGATTCCACTCCCCGCCTTCCTTATGATCAAAATATAAGCTGACCACTTATAACACGTATATATCCCCATGCATAATCATTCTACATTTCTTTACCATAAATAAAATTATAGTTCCACTGATAATTAATAAGTTATAGTTCCACTGATAAATAATCAATTATAGTTCC